GGACCTTTGATCCTGCCTGTTTCTGTTTCTGATTTGTTTGCCTGACCTGTCTTCGGACTCCTGCTGGTGTATGCTTGTGGACTGAACCTGGATTTACCTCCTGACTTTGAATTGGATTTTCCCTCGGAACCTCTTCGGATCTTTTAATTTCTGGTCTGGACTCCTGTTAATCTCTACGATACCGGCTTGGCTTTCTTCTTCTGGAAACTCCTACCTTCCTTCGTCCGCCTGGGTCTGCTCGTCAGCCAGTTCTGCAGTCTTCAGACTCCGGCTCCTGGAACTCTCTGGACGGTGTTCGCCGCGTGCTGTTGTTAGCCATCCAGCTGGATTCTACTCCTGAATTATAAAACCAGGTTAGTGACTCAAATGCTCTCAATAGTCCTCTGTCCGATTTACGTGGTCGCTGACCAGAGTTTTCCCTCTACAGGGATTTCGGCCTTTGTTGTTGAATTGTGAATAACACTAATCTGTCTGCTTCAAATTCTGGGTCCTCAGTTCTGAGCCTTGACACGTGTAGCAAGCTGAATGTGCAATGCTCTGCCTGAATGTGTTTCACACATCCATGGTAGCTTCCAAGATAGGACACTCTGCTGAAGCCTGAGAGCCAAGCAAATTGGCAGCCCAAGTTGAACCCTTACTGAACAAAGAGATGATCTTTACACATACAGACACAAATTTACTCTGTCCAAAAGCAATGTACTGTTTACATGTTTGACATACACTGTTAGTGCTTTGTTTTACAGCATGTCCTTGTTGGATTCAAGCTTTTGTAAACAGGAAACAAAACCAGGGGCAAGACACTTTTAGACTTTTATTTTAACTTTTTTTTGTTAGTGTGTATTTGTTTGCTAGCCTCACATGACTCATTGTGCCTCTAGAGGTGCATACATGTGGAGCGATGCAGTGACTGCTGCAACACAGCCAAGTTTCTTTTAGTTTCCTTCCAGATCTGAACTCTGTGTGACTCTGATAACATTGAATCGAGAAACAATTTCATGCTCTTGTACTTGGGGCACTTTTTATGGCTTCAACTGTTCCATTAAGGCGCTTAGGGGTCTGGGAATGGTTTGTGAAATGTTTGTGTGTTTTGAGTTAATGTGCTCAGGCTCATCAGCCCTTCAGCTGATACTGCAAAGGAATTCAGAGTTGAAGCTCTGTTACTTTTTGGATCCCAACCAAAGCCACAGAATGTGGAGATTATCCTGAATGGTTATCATTTCCTGTTTCTTAGACTGTCATGTCTCAAATGGGGTATAAATAAATTATTCATATTAACAAGTGGACACACAGTGTGGATACCAAACTTGAGGTCACTACTGACATACTTATTCTCACACTTGTTCCAGAACATCCCCAAGCTTGAGTTTATTAATGTGGTTCTTTATATTTCCAATTAGCTTATTATAAAACCGCTTACAGATTTAACTATGTTTGCTGTTTTTCTTTAAATAGAGGATACTGTGAAGTGCACAAATAGCTGCTTTTTGTCTCATTTGTCTCCGTGTTGGTACCTCTACCTCTTTTGTCACTGACAGAATGGGAACACATGCTCCAAAACATTGAACAGAATTAACTTATGGAACATGAATGGAAGGATGCACTAATGCAAAAAAACTTTCAAAGTATTCTGAAACCAAGCCAGCATTAAGGTTAATCCGACCGGTCATCATGACTGTTTGTATATTTGTAGAGACTTGGGGACTCTAAAATACCATCCGGCCTTTGAAGTACGTTCTTTTTCCTGAAGTACGTTGTTTGGGTGTTTCACTGTTGGGAGCTGGTGCACTTCACAGGATTAATGGCATCTACTGGAAAGAATATTATGTGGAAATATTGAACCAAAATTGTATTATTTTAAAGCTGTGATATTTTTTAAATGATCTGTGAACAAACAACACAAAGACACTTATCTCATAGTCTAATACATAGTCAGTAAACATGGCTCATAGTGTGTCATAATATTCAGATCTTTAAAATAAGGGTAGTTTATTGTATCATCAGTTTTTTATCCAGAAAAATCAACAGTGACAATCCTCAAATCATTTAAAAAAATACAATTTGGGTAATAAAGGCAACAGACTTGCATTAGTTTAAAATGTTTATTGTTTGTTATGCCAAAAATGAAAATGAAAGGGACATATATTTAAAGGAATAAATTTTTTCTGCATTGCATCAGTATTGGCTTCACTTATTTCAGTAGAACAAACAGCAATTAGTGCTGCATTATACTTTCTGTTAAAAAAGATAAGAAATAAAACTGTAGCTGTTCTCTTTAGGTATTTAAAGGGATGCTGACAGAGTTCAGCTCCAAGAAAATGTAATTGATGAGGGAAAAAAACTGTTTTTTTTTAACAGAAATTCACATAAAAACAAACAAATTATTTTCACAACCCTAACCCAAAGGTCTATAACGTCCCACTGTGTTCTGATATTAATGAGGGGTTAGAGGTTAAACTATGAGCTCACAGCTTTGACAAGGTGTGACAGTCAGCAGGCCCCTCCAAGTTGACAAAATGACATCACAGAGATCATTATTGTCCTTGGTGACTCTTTCTGGGAGGTGCCTGTGACTCAGAAAATCTGCGAGCAGAGAAGTGAAACAGATTTCTGCTTCACTTTAATTCTTTAGCTTGTATTTGTGTGTAACTTCTGATTTAGCTTGATACATCTTTAATGTCAGTTCTGTGAACTGAACATTTTAAATAATGCAAATGTTACAATTATAATTAAAACTAGTCAATTTAAGTGTCCAGGAAACAAAGGAGATAACATTTCAAGCTGTTTGGTTTCCCTGCCTATTTTAATGCATTTAGTATGTTTGAAGTTCAGAGGTATGGAAATGCACTGATTAAATTTTTTTAAGATTATCCCGAACAGAGAGGCTTGATAGGTTTTTATTTTATTTTCTGAGACACCCTGTTAGGCTTTTTCTCTCTATTATCTGATGGTTCTTCCTTTGTTTTATACTTACAAGCTCGACCCATGGTGATGAGGATAGGTGAGACTTTCCAGGCTTCTCTCAGTCATCTGAAAGCTGTTAAATTCACATTTTCAGCACATTGCATCTTTTACTGCTCTAAAGTGTACACATAACAGGGTGATGAAAACTGAAAAAGAAGCTTATTATAGGCTGTTTATAACCAGCTGTTTTCACTCTCCATCTTACACACACATCTGCTTCAGGCTGTCAAATACGCTATAGAAAAGCAGTGGGCTTGTTCTTATTTGTGTATGTAATATTGTATTTGCTACTTTTCATTATTAGAATGTATACACAGGAGCTAAAACATATACGGTAGCTTAAGAAACCTGAGCAGGATATACTACATGTATCCATTCCTTTTGCACCCACTTTTTCAATCCAAGGTCATTTAGAGGCCAAAGTCTACCCAAGCTGTCATCAGGTGGGAGATAAACTACCAACAGGCTGCCAATCCTTCACAAGGCCATTTGACCAATCAACAGGACATATTTCATACCTTCAGAGCTTCAGACTGAAGAGTCCTTATAAAGTCACACAGCGCCATCTTATGGCACCATGTGACTTTATAAGCACGCTTCCTCTCTAAAGCATAAGTAATAATGGTAATAATAATAGTATTATTATTATTATTATTATTATTATTATTATTATTATTATTATTATTATTATTATTATTTTAACAACAACAGAGTCATATACTTCATGATCTTGAAGATAAATCGAAATGTGGTATGAGCTCTATGGAGTTTGTCCTTCAGAGAAGCACAAAAATAAATATTGACATGGGAATATCTTTTTAGACCTAGACAAACTTTATCCTCATTGTGTATACCCAGAGTGAATATACAAAACAAAATTTCTTTTTGTACAACTCTCATTACATTTCCATTTTCTTGAAGTTCAGCTGTAATCAAATGTATCTTATTGTATGTAATGTTCTAATGAATGCATTACTGTCATTTACCATGTGAGATAAGCTGTTCTCTCTCTAAAAGTAGAAAGGAAGGCAGATGTTTTATTTATCAGGTGATTCTCCTGTGAAACAAACAACCGATTTTTATCTGTGAGGCAGATACCCTTTTACATCGAAGACTAGCCTTGAAATGTTTGCTTTTGACAAAGCTTATAGTTAGTGTGGATCAGCTTAAACTGATATAACTCTACGGTTATGCTGCTATAGGCTTAGGTTGCTGGAGGACATAGGGACCACTTTTCCTTACTCAGCTACATTTTACTTCTATTCTCCAATTTTACATTATTGTAAGTTTAACTTATAATGTTATCTTCTCTTTGCTTTTCATCATCATTGTAGCTTCATCTGGCCTGGGATTCAGCCACGCAAGCATCCTACTGTATGGGAAGCATTTTCTGGGGTGATGCTTTCAACAACTTAGATGATAGAGTTGGGCCTGTTTCTCTCATAGACGTAGCTATGGGTTCAGCCCTTTACTTTTAAGTGTATTGGTTCTAATTCATCCTTTTGACTTGAAACTGACTTAGAACCGATCTTCTTAACTGTTTTGTACTTAGACAGAACTGCCTCTATAGCCAGTTTACTGTTACATATTTTACCATAGGAAGTATTTATGGAAGAGGGCTTCTACAGTATATGCTTCTTGTATTTCTGTTTCTGTCCTTTATCCCCAGTCCACCTCTGCAGATGGTCGCTTAAACTGAGCTTGGTTCTGCTGGAGGTTTCTTCCTGCTAAAGGGTAGCTTTTCCTCTCCACTGTGACGGCATGTATGCCTGTTTTTAGAGGCTTCTGCACGGCTAACAACACAATGCAAGCCAATATCCGGTGTTATGATTATACATAAGGGCTTAATTCTGAAAAGTCAGTGACTGCTGGGTTTCCTCAGATAGAAAACTATTAACCAATCTGTCCATATGTTTTAATCAAAGTGTCTTAGTAAATTGCCCTGAGGTGACATATATTAAATAAACACAAGAGAAGTAAAACAATGCAGAAATTAATGTTTATAAAAATCAAACAAACAACAAAATTATAAACTACATGAAAAAACAGACATACAAGAAACAATACGAATGTGAAACCCTCACATTTTGATCCATTTGCTAAAAGATTTATTTCACCAAAACATTAATTCAATATATTTTTCTGTTATTACTCTGAACAGTTTCCCTGCCTAGTTTTCCAATGAACCATTTTATGTTGTGTAATCCAGAAGTGATTTAATTAGTAAACCCAAAAGAATAATAGCTCCCCACAAAAATACCATGGCCTGGTTTTAGTGCCCTGTACTCTAAGGCTATTATATTAGTCATTGACCAAACTATCCCGGGTTTTCATTCCTGCTGCATATAATCCCACCCATGTTTTTCCTGCTCATTTCTTGTCTGAAACACGATTGATAATGTCCACTCGTTCCACAAAAATGTAAAAAAAGAAATAAATAGGTAAATATTTTATTTCAAAGTTTTAGTTTAAAGTACCACTAAAATATTAACAGACATATTTTAAGCAGTAGTTGATGCAAACTCCTGCTGCTGAAATTAGCGGTTAGATGATGGGATCAGTTGCAGTATAACATGTGTATTAGTATAAGAACATTTTTATAATAATATCAATATTGATAGTGAAAAGAATATTAAAACTAAGCCTTAATCCATTTTGTGAAACATTGCAGATTGTTGGAGGATTGAGCTGAAGGTGTTAAGCTTTCAAGATTAATGCATACTGGATTATTGTTCTAAAATATTTTTCAGGCACATTTGTCTGAGGAAATACCCCAATGCAAACTCTGAGGTTGTGAAAGGGCTACTGTATAGACCTGGGAAGGCCAAATAATTAATGGATTGATATGTTGGTAACTGGATACATACGTAGATGTATGGACTGATGGGTGAATGGAAGATATAAACATGGTATTGTGATGTACCAAGAGAGCTGTCTCTTTGTGAAATCTTAGCTGTAGGTTGGAAAATACAGCAACTGTAAGCATGTTATGGAAAAAAACTATAGATTTATTTTTGCTTTAGTGAAAACCGAGTAATATTACATTTGTCATCTAATTAGCTGATACAAACTAATATGCATTTTCCCCTCAACATAAACATAATTTTAAGGTTAAGTATAAGAAATAGAGACGTGATATTAGGACAGCAAAAAAAAGAAAAAAAAAAATTGTCATTAAGCATTCGGGTAGTTTCCTCCAGAGTGCAGAGATTGTGCTTACACTTTGAGTAAAGACCGTCCATCAAAGTTTACTTGAAGGACACCGGATGATCTCAGGCCAGCACCTGTTCTTAATGTGGGACAGACAAGCTTACAATTACCATATGGGAAATAAAAACAAATAGCAAAACATTTTATCAATAGTTTGTACACTAAAATATGCAGATATTACTATAACATCCCCAAAAGGCATACAACTAATTACACCTAATTGTAAATCAGATCAAGTGTGTTCACAAGTTGTTTTGATTTTATCAGGCTGCAAAAAATGCTGATAGTATTACATTGTTGGGCTCAGAACTTGTCTTTAAAGTTAATAGTCTCTGGATGTTACTGTGATTGTAGGATGGGCTGTTTCAAACACAGCTTGCTGTTTCCAGAGAAGATAGGCATCTGCTTCTCCATGTGGAATCGCACCAGGTGACCGACGCTTTTAAATACTTGGTCCCTCGTTCGCACCTGATGACAAAAACAGAACAAAACTAAGAGCCTCACGCTTGAATATCCACATATACAGAGCTTTAACAAATATATTTAAGCCACTTGAACATCTGCTTCTAAATTTGGTCAAGAAAAACAAGAACGACCTGAAACTAATATATACATCTGGTATAATAGTTGCTTTACTTATTTAAAATATTTTTCAAATAACCGATAAGTCCGGTGAACATATGTATTTAAAATTTAAAAACTTTTGAAAACCACTTTTTGAACTACATGCATAGTGACAGATTCACTTTTTAACATATCTAGACCACTTGAACATCTTGAGTTTATATAAACCAGAGATACAACAGAATGGTTTAGATTGTTTGTTTTTAGGTTCAAGATTTGGCACCTGTTGGTACCTCTGCTCCAGTCTCATGACTTTTGATCAAGTTGTTTTTTTCTTCTTTCAGGAACGTCCTGCATTTCTATGATTGACAACTGTAGTCTGTGGTATTGTACTGTGGTTTCTCGCTTCAGGCATCGTCCAACCCTTCCCTCTGACCTGTCTTCGATAATCTGTGGTCTTCATTATAGTATTAGTTAATCAATACTATTATTAGACTAAACACAGATGTACAAAATAGAGTAGAAATGGATAGAAGCAAAGCGGTGGACAAAAGCTGTCCACTTATACTGATCTCCCGGTTGCCTGCAGCTACTGTACATACGTATAGATACATACACATACAGAGGTGTCATTCAACTAGTTTTAAGTCAATCTATAATCACAAAAGCAATGAACACATTTTATGAAGGTTGAAAAGTTACTTTGTGTTGGTTTAAGGAGGAAAGTATTTCAAAACTCTGTTTATGCGATACTGTGGATAGTGTCTCTCCATAATTTTATATGAGACGCATTGACTCACCTCTAGACAAACATGCATGTGCCACACTCAGAAAATGAAAACAATGGCACGTAGTGCTGTGCGCATGCCCAGTTCCTTTCCTGGTGTCGTGCCAAGGTAGTTATCCCTGCCAGAATTTGTATCCCCTCTCCTCTCAATTCCAACCTACTATACGTGAAACTTGAGATGTGTTATCTTTATGAAAGATGAGCGTTGTTATTTTATTCTTCATTCACATGTTATAGCAGAATATCGCCAGTGATATTGATAAAAAAAATAAATAAATAAAACAGTAAATTGAGTGTAAGTGTATATTATATGCTGCACTCAGTAGCAATATTACTTTATCCTATGTCATATATAGCTTGAATCTATATTTGTGTTTTATATTGACTTAAAATTTCTGTATGTTGTACTACTATAATGGAATTGAGGCAGAGTGAACTCGATCAGCTCCTACTCCAACCATGCTCTCGGCAAGGGGATACAAATTGTGGGGGTGATAACTACCTTGGCATGACACCAGCCTGTTCCCATCATTATGTCAAAGCACCACCAACAGATCTAAAATAGATTTTATTTTTCAAATATTTTTTAGGCCCTAGTGGTGTTTTTTTTTTTTCTTCTTCTCTTTTTTTCTTTTTTTTGAAGTAGGCAAACAGGAAATGGGATTAGAGAGACGGGGAAGACATGCTTAGGTTAACAGGCCGAGACTTCAGCCAGGTTCAAGACCAAAGCCTCTAAACGTGGGTTGTGCCCTCAACCTTTGCATCACTGCCGGTGCCCAAGGTCTGACATAATTTTATTGTGTTTTCAAGCATATTGAGCACTATCATCTGCAGGTACACACTTTTTGAGCTGGCTTTGTGCTAACAAATAATGTTTCTGAATTTATGAGTTCTTTGTCTTTGTGTAGATATAGCCTTAATGAGTTTGTTGACACGGCTATAAAGTCTAACAGCTAACGGAAGGAAGGATATGTGATAACACTCCTTTGTGGAGCTAGAGTGCAGTGTTCTATCACTAATAACTTACTAATTATTTGACATATGAAGGCAGTTGTGAGCACATTTTGGGCCGTGCAATGCTTTTCAAATTGTACATCACTGCCTGTTTGAAGTTTTCTTCATTTCATAATTATGCCTTATATGTGTCTCTTAAAGTAAAGCTCTGTGTTTACACCTTGAAGCTTTCTCTCTCCGGTCTTTTTCCTGAAAAGAGATCACTTGGGACAAACTCTTTAAATAACGCTTAATATTGTATATGTATAAAAAAAAAAAAACATGAGACATGACGACAGATTTTGATAGAAATTGTAATGTAACTCAGATCTGATAGGTTGCTTAGGGTTACAGAAGGGTTCGCTTCTTGTGAAGTTGCCCAGATAAACAGGTAGAGCAGTATTTTGTACTTCAGTATGCCACGTCATCACATCACTACATCATTACATCATACATGTTTGCAAATGAGGAGACATCCATGGCTCCAGCCTTAGGAAAATATTACATTTTGTTTTTAGGACTCTGCTCTCATTCCATTCCCAAATCCCACATACAGAATGAAGATTATAACTGTATATAGCCAAACCGAGGCACTGGCCTAATTAGATAAACTTCTGGGGAAAACATCAGTTCTGACATGCAACAGGCAGGTAGTATTAAGGTGTAATAAACTCACACATCATCAATGATAATTATCCTAACATGTCACATTTAATCCAGGTAAAAGACATTAGTAGCTATTTCATGACAGAATAAGGATAAGCTAAGGGAAATTAATAATTTTAAAAGGCATGATAACAGCACACTACCTGCCCGTGTGGATCAACCAGAAGTAGATGTCGCACAGTTGGCCCCTCCATCCCACTAAGCACATACTGACCAGAGGCTGAGCTGCTCTCTCTGACCAGGAAATCCCCACTGCAGGTAAGGAGAGACTCTGCCTGCTCTCTACCCAGCCTAAGAAAGAGGGTCAAAAATCTGCTTTGAAATATGCCTGTATGTACAAACCCAGAAACAAGCAAAGAGTTGATTTGATGATTCCCCACCTGCCGTGAAACCACCCCTCCTGGTGAATTAGGTTCTGAACAGGGGTTCCATTAAAGCGTCGTTCATCAGCATCCTCAACTGACACTGGATCAGGTAGAGACAAAATACAGAGGGAATTCATATTGCTTGCAACAAGAAAGAAAAAGCCATATTTTAGTATTTTCTTTTGTTACTTAGTATTCGAAATTGAATTAATTGGACTATGTTAAAAATTTTGATCACTGACATTATACAGATGTATATAATTTATATTTGAACACAATATACTGACAAATCATAGTTTTCTAAGTGGATCAATGTGATTTTAAAGGGTCATTAAGTGAAGAAGGCTATGCAAAAGATTCCTCATCAAAATATCAATGAAAATCTTTAGGCAGTTTAAAATAGATAATGGATTTACTAATGTCTCCATGCTAAAAAAAAAATCTTTACTGAGAAACACATGAAATAACTACTCTTTCTTCTACCACAATAATGCTGACAGTCACCTGCAGATGGAGCTGGTGTTTCTTCTCTGACAGAGTAGTTCTCATACAGTGAAACAGGCGGAGAAAAACAGACCTGCAACAGATGAGTCATACAAACCAAACGTGACTATTATCTTTGTGCATGAAATATGTGCGTGTGTGTGCATATAATGGGAGCGATGGCCTGAAGGTTAGAGATGTGAGGTCGTGACAAGAAAGTCACTGATTCAATTCTCACAACGGTTCTGGGAAGTGACTGAGCACTGCTGAAGAGCATCCTCTATTATAAACTACTGAGAAAGGCATTTCCTGTTCAATTGATTCTCCCTAGTGACTCTCAGATCAAGTTATGCTTTACAGGGACCCCTTGAAGTCTACTTGTATAACTGATTGGCTTCGATGAACTAATTCCAAACAATAAAAAGATGGAACTGATTTGTTTCATTTATTTATTTTTTATTAAATGTAATCATATTTCAAATATCAAAATCCATCACTAACATTCAATGGCAAAACTTTTCTATTTAGTCATCTAATTAGCAGGATTTGGTCAAACTAATCTCAGGCTCCCTCACTAACATTTGATCACTGCTGCATTTTATGGAATGGAAATGTTCATTTACTGTGATAAAGCTGCGCTAAATGAAAGTTTGTTTTGTGTACACTCTGCATATACAAAATTACAATACAAGTAGTCTAAGGCTTTCAGCTACATCCTACAAGTTTCTTTATGGACTTTATTCACGTATTTGCTTAGTTTTATTAAATGTTTTTTATATATGTGTATGCAGGGTTAATACATTTGATTTTGCAGTTATGTCTGGTTTTATTTGGTGGTCATTTGTTAACCCTTTATAGGGTTCTCAGTGAAATACTTTGAAAATCAAAATTTCAAGCCAAATGGTGTTATTGGAATCCTGGACAAGACCTTATTACCTTTGTAACATTCATAAAATATGGATATTTTGATGGCAAAAATGAATTTCAGTCTAATAACCAGAAACACCAACTTGCCCAAATATATTAACCCTCTTCAGGCAGATGTTGCAGATTTGCAACAGCTAAATGTCACTTAGCTAATTACTCCACATCCATATTTTAAGAGCTTTAGTTACTCAGAAGTACAACAGAAGGACTTAGTTGTGCATTTGCAACAAACAGGTTCTCTCCAGCTCACCAGATCTGCTGACTCACTTTCAACATGGCTGAGTCCTTGGTGTCACTGAAACAGATTTTCTAAGCACCAATTTCATGTAAGTATCACTACCAATTTCCATTATTTTGAAATCAATACTACATAAGATGAATCATGAATATGTATAGATATGACACATGCCAAATAGTAGATTTTATCTCCTCTGGGTTTTTCACCAGAGGCAACTCGGTTTCAATGTTGTGGATTTGCAACGTGTGCCTAAAGAGGTACCAATGGATGCTACATGATTTATCTACTAATTTGCCTATATTTTGAGCAACAGTTTAACAGAAATTGCCTTCTCAAGAGGTTTTGAGATGTCAGTGGAGAAAAAGTTTGAGAAAAAGTTGTCTCTAATTTTGTGAGAATTTTTTATTTTTTATTTTTGTATTTTTCGTTTTGTTAATTTTTTGTTTGTGACATTCAAATAAAGTTAACGTTCATATCAGATTCAGTCTTCAGTGTTAAGTTACCACTCCGGGCCACTGTTGCAAATCTGCAACATCTCAGAATTCAGTGCATGTGAAGGTCTCTCTCAAAAAAAAGTATATTACTACCCTATATTATCATTTTCTCCAAATATCAGATTTTTCCTGCAACTACAACTTAATTTGAGCCTTGCTGGATATAGATCTTGTGCTTCTAGACCTCACTGAGGGACGTAGGGGACTCCATTTGTAAGGGTTTGCAAGGGATCAAAGACGGTATCTTGCTCTATAAAGGGTTAAGTTTAATAAAAATTTACTTTCATTGTACCAGACTAAATTGTTTGTGGTTAACTATACATAAAAGTTAAATGTGAACTGATGTTAAAAAAAGCAATAAATCTTAGATCTTAATTTTCACTAACTGGTTCATAGATTTTTTTTTTCACTAACAACTCTGTTGTTCAGAGGGAGGATTTCTTACCTCCTGAACATCTGGCTCCAATTTCTTCTCTTCGTTTATGTTCTGCTTGCCCCCTTTCCTCCCAACCAGTGGAAAAAAGGTTTCTCCTGTGATGACATTATAATACTCTGGTTGCTTAGTGACCTCATCCTCCTGCTTGCTCTTTTGGTCCATTGATGTCTCTTTGGGACTCCATTTGGGACAGATCCTAACCATAGACCTGAATAAAAACAACATCCCTGATGTTCAGATGTTGTTGCGTGTGAACTCACCATGCTGAGTCACACTAATCATTTTACAACCTTGGGGAGAGAACTGTTGATGTCTGGCTGAGGAGCTGCCGGAAACGAGTCTCAAAGGCCTGCCCGATGGTGCTGATAACCTCAGCGGCTTGACCCTGGGGACACTCCATGATGTGGCAGGCTGCCCAGAGTGACAAGGAAACATGTTATTCCCATAATTCATATATTTGGAGTTTGGTGTGATCTAAAAATGAGCCCCCACCTCTTTTATTAATGAAGTCCTTTGCAACGTAGGCAACATAATCTGCCATGTCCTGTAAATATTTTCAAACAAACAAAGTTAGAGTTATAACAAGAAGCAGAGTGATGTCAAAACAAAGTCTAACAAATGTAGACAAAAGTAACGTGTCTGGAAAGTAGGATTTAGGTCAAGATATTTATCTTTAGCTAATTCAAGTTTTTGTTGTGCTCAAACAAGTTTGATTAACATTTTTTATGTAGTCTAACTGAAAATATAACAGTTTTGCTTTATATACTTTGCAATGGTAGCCCTTAGGATATTAGTATATGTTTGCTGCAATGATTAACTTTCAAAAGTGCAAGTAAATAATGTTGCAGTGGCAACATTATTTACTTGCACTTTTGAAAGTTTACATATTTTTTAAACCAGCGTAGCAGATGGAGTATAGTGATGGGAAGAGCAATACTTTTTATTATCCCTAGAATTGGTTGATTAAAATGATTCCTTCAAAAGATTTGGTCATCATATTATTTAGTTCATGCAGTTCATTGGCGCAGTATGCAAGTCAGAGGTAGAGTACACTCTCCCAGCACAGTACTTGTTGGTAAATAACTCCCCAGTGGTAGTTCCATGTGTGTGCACTAGGTTAACAAATTCTGAGTCAGTAATTTTAGTGCTGGATAAATAGGGATGGGATTCAGTCGCACATCTATCTATCTATCT